AAATCGGCCATAAAAATCGGTCAGGCGGGCCTAGGCGGAGCTAGGCGGCCTCGGCGGTCACGGCGGCTACGCAGTTTTGGCGGGACTAGGCGGCTGAGGCGGGTTCTCGGCGGCCTCAGCGGCTTCTCGGCGGTTTGACAGATTTATTTTATTTTTTTTTAAATTAGTAAGTGACAAAACGACGTCGTTTAGTTTAGGGCTAAATAAAAAAAAAGGAAAAAAACAAAACGGGCTTAATTACTTATATTACACTTACTGGGCCAAAGAAATCAAAAAGATTAAACATCATCGTTAGAGAGAGAACAGAATAGAACTGTAAACCCTCGTCCACCATACTCTTGTTCAGCGACCTCCAGGCTCCAGTCTATATCTAAGTTCGCCCGGACCGCCTATCTCCGTTCGCCGCTCTCACTCAGGTACTAAAAGTCTAAAAGTAATTTATACTAGAGGTTTTGTTTTGACTTTTGATTTGAAAACTGAATAGAAAACTTAGAAAAGAGGATAAATATAAAATATGTAAAGGCTAAAGATGAAAGACGGAAAGAGTAAAGAATGAATGTATGTTTATCACTTTATTCTTATTGTTTATGTTTATTACTTTATCAGTTTATTAATACTGTATTAAGTTAGATGACAGCTCATTATCATTCATCACTTTTCATTTTTTTTTATTTTTTTTAAATCAAGTAGGGTGCTGGCGTGAATTTGTGTATTGTGAAAGTCCAAAAAATTGACCATCATGTTTGAGTTTTGGGTCAATTTGAGGTGATTTTTGGGGCTTTTAAGTTTTGACAAGTAGCTGGGCACATGCTTTTTACTTTTTTTTTTTCATTCCTTTATTTTGTTATTCATTTATTTTATTGTATTATTATTTATGTTAAATTAATTAGTTAATTAGTTGGTGTAATTAGTGTGAATTGGTGTTTAGTTTGTTGGTATAATTATATTATGTTGTGTAATGTTTAAAACATGACATGTAGTTAATGTGTTTGATAAAATTACAATGAGAAGAACTTGGTAGAAATTTAGAAATTTAATTTGAAAAATGAAATGTTCATTGTGTATTTGTGTTCTTTCTTGCAACAACCTTATGTATTTTTCTAATCTTTTGTTTTTAGGTTTTCTCAATGGCAAGTGGTAGTTGTTCGGCATCAAAAAATATTCCGTGTGATACTCAGACGTCCACTGAGATCGAGACCGATTCTCTACTTAAAAGAAAGTCCGATGACATAGGTTGGAATTATGGTGTTCTAGCCGATCCACATAACAAAGATAGTGTTAAATTCTTGTTATGTGAGAAAGTCATGTCGGGTGGTATACGACGATTGAAAGAGCACATTGGTCAAATTTCTGGGAATGTCACTTCATGTAAGAAAGCAACAAAAGAAGATCAAGCCAAATGTAGAAATGCCATCAATGAGTCCAAAGCAAAGAAGGTGAAGACAAAAGAATTTCAAGAAGAGTTGCTCTCTTCGGTTAATATTAAAGGGTCGAATTCCTCTCAACAATGCCAAGAAGCTCACTCTCTTGGCCCAATGGATAGATTGCTACAACTATTAACCCGGAAGCATCATTGAATGTGGCAAAGACAATGCGACAACAAAACATTAGTGATGCTATTGGGAAGGAACGATCCAATTTGGTGAAAGATTATTTAGTCGATTGGGTTTAAGAATCCGGCATATCTTTCAATACGCTTGATCTCAATAGCTTTCGTCTCTTCACCGAAGCGCTCGGTCAATTTGGACCGAAGTGGAAGGGTCCAAGTCAATATGAGGTGAGAGAGCCATTGTTGAAAAGAGCGGTCAAGAGAACCAAACTCAAAGTGAAGCCTCATGAAGATGAATGGAAGAGGAGTGGTTGCTCGATTATGACGGATGCTTGGAGTGATAGAAAGAGAAGAAGTATCATGAATTTGTGTGTGAATTCTAAGGTCGGAACAATGTTTCTCTCTTCCAAGGAATCTTCCGATGTGTCATACACAGGTGAAATGATATTTGAGTATGTGGATAAATGTATTGAACAAGTTGGGCCGGAGAATGTTGTTCAAATTGTGACGGACAATGCTTCAAACAATATGGGAGCGGCAAAATTATTGCGCACGAAGAGGCCAACTATCTTTTGGACTTCATGTGCCGCACACACCATGAATCTCATCTTGGAGGGCATTGCAAAACGACCCCGGTTCAACAAAACAATTGAACAAGCAAAGGCGTTGACGATATTTATATATGCGCATCATAAGACCTTAGCCATGATGAGGTCTTACACTAAAAGAAGGGACATAGTAAGGCCCGGGGTCACACGATTTGCCTCTTCTTTTCTTAGCTTGCAAAGTTTGATGGAAAAGAAGACACAATTAAAGGCGATGTTTTCTAGCTCCGAGTGGGATGAGTGCAAATGGTCTAAGACGGTCAAGGGGAAAGCGAGTTACAACACCGTGATGTCTATTGGTTTTTGGAATGGTGTGAGATCTTTTTTGACTATTTTTACTCCTTTGGTGAAGGTTCTTCGTATAGCGGATGCCGATAGAAAACCGTCGATGGGTTTTTTGTATGGGGAGCTTATGCATGCCAAAGAGGATATAAAAATCGCCTCGAACAATCTTGCCAAGAATTATGAACCCATCTTAGAGATCATTGACACGAAGATGACGGGTAGATTGGACACTCCGTTGCACTTGATGGCATATCTACTAAATCCTTATTATCATTATAAGGACCCGAATCTCATACTAGATCAAGTTGTTTCGGATGGAGTTCTTGATTGTCTTGATGTCATTTGTCATGGTGACTTTGATTTGATGAATAAAATCATGAACATTGAGTTGCCAATTTATAAGACAATGGGAGGAGTCTTTGGGAAGCCAATTGCCGCAAAAGGTTGTGAAGTGAACGACGAAAAGTTTGATCCGGGTAAATAATAGTTTTTGTTTTTTTTTTTTATTTTCATTTGTGTCTTGCCTCTTATGTGATAAGTGATGTCTTGGAAAATTATATTTATTTTTTATGATTAGTCTTAAACGTGTTTTTAAAGTTTAAATGACTTCAAAATGATTTGTTTTCATATTAATTTCTATCTTTTTTTTTTCATGCATAGCTACTTGGTGGTTAAATTATGGGTATGGAACACCTAATTTGCAAAGGATTGCCATAAGAATCTTGTCATTAACCACAAACTCGTCCGGGTGAGAAAGGAATTGGAGTACATTCGAAGGGGTTAGTTGGATTTATTATGTTTAAATTGTTTTGTTATTTTTTGCATATTATATAATGTTGTTTTTATATGCTCTTTAGATACATACGAAGAAAAAGAAATCGGCTAGATGTTTCGCGCTTGAACAATCTAGTTTATGTCCAATTCAATACGCGTTTATTGAACAAACGCAAATGGGGGAATGAAAGAGATGTGTTACTTGCTAGTGAGGCAAGTAAAGCACAAGAGTGGATTATTCCGGGATTAGTAGATGATGAAGATGAGGGGGTTGATGGACTTGAAGTTGAGGATGACACATGAAGAGTGAGGGAGCTTGAGGAAGAGGATTTTGAATCCGAGGAGGAGGAACAAGTCAATGAGAATGATATTGACTTTGAGTCGGATGAAGAACGTGTATTGGAGAATTATGGGGAAGAAGAAGAAGATCCTTTTGGCAATATTTCTTAGTTTGTAGAAGTGTTTTGAATTTTGGTCATGTGGGTTATTTTGAGAGTTGGATTTTGTTTTGAGTTTGTTTTGGACTTGAAGTTTATTTTGAGATTGTGGTTATGTGTTTAGTAGTTTTAATATAGTTATTTAACTTATTTTATTTGGACTTGGATTTTGTTTTAAGATTGTGCTTATGTACTTAGTAGTGTTTATGTACTTATTTTGACTTGGAGTTTGTTTTGAAATTGCAATAAAACAATCTTGTAGTCATGTGTGTTGTTAATTTCTATTATGTTTTATTATAATATTATATTAATAATATTATTGGGACTTATGTGTATGAATTTATTAATTATAAGTTGTAATTTTATTAGTGAAATTGTGAAAATAAATAAAAAATAATATATTTATTATAATTTCTAGGCCCCGCCTAGGCCCCGCCTAGGCCCCGACTAGGCGCTCTAGGCGCTAGGCGCTGGTCGGGCGCCTAGCAGGCGCCTAGCGACTTTTAGAACATTGGGTTTAATATGAAATTGATTGACAATAGAAGAAAACCACATATTAAAAAATATAATAATGTTCAAGCTCAATCTTATATAAAATGTGGATTATGAGTTAAGGTATGTAGATAAATATGGTTTAATATGAAATTGATTGACAATAGAAGAAAACCACTTATTAAGAAATATAATAATGTTCAAGCTCAATATTAGATAAAATGTGGATTATCAGTTAAGATATGTAGATAAATATTGTTTAATATGAAATTGATTGACAATAGAAGAAAACAACTTATTAAAAAATATAACAATGGCCATTTTATACATTATGAATGATAATTTAAAGAATAGACTATTATATCATAAGATATAAAATCAAGTATTTGTTTAGGGTTTAGGGTTTAGGGTTTAGGGTTTAGGGTTTAGGGTATATGCGAGGAGGGTATGCGATTTCGCATACCCCCTTCGCATTTCTACAAGAAAGTTTATTTGTTATTTTCTTTCATCTAATCATCTTTCAGTTATGCGAATTTTCGCATGTTGCTCTCATACCCCATTTGCACTTCTACTCGAAAGTTTTTTTTTCTTTTTTTATTTCTTTCATTTTTCAGTTGTGCGAGGGGGTATGCGAATTGCCGCATATTGCTCGCATTCCCTCTTCGCCCTTCTAATCGAAAGTTCTATTTTTTTTCTTTCATCTTTCAGTTATGCGAATTTTCGCATATTTCTCGCATACCCATTCGCACTTCTACTCGATTTTTTTTTTGAAATCCTCTATTCTCGACATACAAAATTGCGACATACAAACGTCGCATATTATTCGCCGAGTTGGTGCATAATAAAATTTTTGAAATTTTGAAACCGCTGAGAGTTGGAATAATAGAACGTACGACCGATTTCGAGGCGTCTTTTTCGCTTTTCGAAACGTCTTTCCTTCGTCTACATAAAGCGTGTAATCTTCAATCCTTATCTCATGCCCCTTCTCTTTCTTCCCCTCCGGCCCCCAAAACTCTTTTAATGGCTTCCGTTTTTTCCCTTCTCTTGTATATGAGAAGCAGTTTGCCAGAGATAAACCAGAATTACAAAATTATTTCGATCGACCCTTGAGGCAATTCTTTACGATTACTGTGTCCGAGATGAGAAATCCTAACCTTTCGAATTCATTTGATGAAAAAATTCAACTACCGGAAATTCCGCTATCTAACTTTATTAACGTGGCCCCGGAGGAAACATATGCCGAGACAGCGACGATGTTGAAAATCAAACCTCCGGGCCCAGGTATTGCCGGATCAACTGTGAGAAGGTTGAAGGTCGGAACGGCGCGCGTCGGCGGCCGGGGCGTAACGACCCAACACTCTGTCATAGGCAATGCTGGCCTCAACCTCTCTAGGTTGTGGTCGGCCAGGTTTTCATGACAGAGGAAGGTGTTTGGTCGACGGGGATCTCTTCTCTGAACCCGTCTGTGCCCATCACTTGAGAGCGTGGTGGGAGGGGCCAAGCTCTTGCTGGAGTTTTACCTGGAACTCCACAAACAAGCTCGGCCCACGGCTCTTCTTTCTTTGACTGCTCTGTTGCTCGTCGGCTGGGGTTGAAGCGACTGTAAAAGCAGTAGTGTAGGGATTTCTGTTCGATCTTTTATTCTGCGAAATACATTCTTAGCATATTATTCGTCTAGGTGGTGCATAATAAGGTTTTTTTTTTTTTTTTTTT